AAAATCTCAGAATTTACCCATCACTCCAAGAAGAGTTCGTCAACTTCTCCATGAATAGCCAAATCTCGTGTATCGAAACATGAAGACAGCCCCTACTTTTACTGCGAAACGCAAGAAGATGCGCGTAGATTGGGTAAAGGAAAAAATAATATGGACAAAGGGGAAATGGGAAACGGTAGTGTTTTCTGATGAGAAAGAGTTTAATTTGGATGGGCCCGATGGCTACCAGTGTTATTGGCATGAAAGGAGAAACAGCTGTTTTCAAATAGACTGTTATGGTTTGGGAGCCTTTTTCTGCGTCTGGAGAGGCTCATTTAGTAGTGATGGAAGGGAAATAAAACTCTGCTCGATATATCAATGTGTTGGAAAAAAGACTTGTCCCATTTATGAATCGTCTAGCACTAATAATGCCATTTTCAACACTACAACGCATCCATACACACTTCTAAGCTCTTGAAAGACTGGTTCAAAACAAAAAAGTACTGAAGTTTTGGACTGGCCCACTAAGTTTCCAGATTTAAACCCAATGGAAAATTTGTGGGGAATTTTGTCACGAAGAGTATACAAAAATAAACGTCAATTTGAAGATAGAAAACCTTTAAAATATTGCATTAAACAGCATTGGAATGAAATTCCATCTGAAACTCTTAGAAAAATTATTGATTCAATGCAAAACAGGCGTGTTGAAGTATTACAATTGAAAGGGAATAAATGTAAATATTGAATTTTGTACAATTTTGCTGTTAAATACAAATTTTCAAAACTGTCTAATGCTTATTTCCACCCTCAAAAACGTATTTTTCTTAATAGCTTTCTTAATACATTTTTTTGGTGGAAAGCTGTTATAAAATTGAAAATTGAATATGTATACTAATACCATCGGATCTAGGTACCACACACAAATTTTATGAGGAATTTTTGCAGTAATAAGAAAATTATTAACATTTTCATGTGGTGTCTTTCCTTATTTCCACCGCTGTAAATATTTGTTATGAAAGATATTACTAAAATCGATTTCATCTCTCAGATCCCTTTTTGTTTAGCATCTTGAATGATATTGACCTAATTAATAAATCTATAGTCTTTCTATACTATTTACATCGTTCGGACTGTCTTCTTCATCTTTATTGCCATCTTCACGACGTTCGTAAGGACACATAGCCTAGTGAATAAAGGCATTGGTTGAAGTAATCCAAAAAGTAACTTGACCCAAAGAGTTCAATAACTGCCAGAAGGAACAAAAACTTTCAAGAGTTAAGTTACTAAAGGGAATTTACTGAAAATGAGATATCCAAAAAAGACATGGTACGTGGAATTAGAACAATCTACCGTCATGGACTAAATAAAGGGTTTGGTAAGAAATTCTAGCGTATATCACCTGAAAACAGATTTTGCGTACAACGGCAGAAAGTTCGTGAATATGGCAATAATAATGAGGACAAAAGTCCGAACGATGTAAATAGTTACTATAACTCATCTCAAAAATATAGACAGATCCTGAAAAGGGCCGGAGTGTACAACGACCGAAACGTCGTGAACATGGCAATAAAGATTAGGACAACAGCCTAAACGATGTAAATAGTATAAATAGTTACAATATCTCATCTCAGAAATATAGACAGATCTATAGACTTTCATTAATAATGTTGATCGTCCTCAAAATTTTAATATTCAATTGTCGGCAGAAGAAAATTCATTTTCATTTTTAAAAATGGACTGATTGTGCATATCTTATCAAGAAACTCGTAATCCATTCATAGTTTAATGACTTTAATTATTGTTTTGCGCTCTATATTTGTGCCTTGTTCCGGACTAATTTATTCATTGTAAATGTTTATTAGCAGGACGCCTTCTCGTGTTAGTAAGTTAGTCCATTACAATTCTCAATTGGTGTCCTGAACCAAAAGCCTTGTCCCAGACTAATCCGAGCTGAAAATCACAGAACAATTGTTAGTTATCCAGTCTCATAAGTTACTATTTGCTATTGTGAACTCAATCCGCCTTGGGTATCGCACACTTGCAACATTTCGTCAATTAAGCTTATTAAATACCCTAACAGAATTTGGAATCGGCGAGTCGAGTTCAAATGCCAGCTTCGTTTTCTGTGTTCACTTTTGTACAAATGCCCTTGGCAAAGGCCTAAATTCATCTCTTCTCTCCTAGGTATGGGTTAAATAGCTGAGTAGACTAGCCTAAGAGAAGGAAAACTTTGAAGTCTAAGAAGGCAACGGGAAACTGCTCCACTGTCTTTTATCAAGAAGGCACTGCAATGAATAGATAATAAAAGAAAAATGAACCTGTGAAGAGTCATGGTTTGATTTGGCTGATTTTGATTAGCGGCATCTCTAGGGGTTACTTAATGCTGTAATATAAATATTTTTAATAAAATTTTATGGCTTCAACTAAAAATATTTTAAATTAATCGTATCCCTTCAACAACAGATAAATAAAATGTATTGGTAATTTTCCTAAACAATATATTGTTGGTAATTCTATAAAATTGTATTGCTGGTCATTTTACTATTAAAATGTATTTTTATGCTCCCACAGGGTTTTTTCGTATGGGGTTTCACTATTTATCCATAGCTGAGACCCTAACAGGTGCTACCACCCCGGGTCAGGGTGGACCTGGAAACAACTGCAATTAAAAGGCGGTTCTACGCTCGTCAAAACTTCCAATCTTCCGACCACAGGCCTTGTTGCTGGATGTAGAATATCGTCATACCCAGGACCGGTGGAGAGTTATCATCGCTTAAGTCCTTAAAGGAGACGGTATTTTAAAAAAAAAACAAAAAACGAAGGATATCTTAACTACTACGGATTTTACATGTACATAAACTGATCTGATTTGAAGCTTACATAATGTGAGTCGACCCTGGAACGAAATTGCCTAGCGTTTTTGTTTTTTTTTGTTTTTTGTTTTTTTTACGTAAAACAATTTTAAAACTGTACTCTTACAAGCTTATTACAAGCAACGAGGCAAAAAATTAAGTTATTCAAAAAATAATGACTGAGATCTAATATTAACATAACTCGAAAGCATATTTTGTGTAGAAGTAACATTATCAATCAAAAAAGCAATGGTTAAAGACTATACATGAAGTAAGGTCATTTATGTCTTTTATAATGAAACTCTTGCGACCTAGATTCCAAATAATCCTTCAAAGAGAAATGCTTTGCTGATTATATATCTGAAGTGAACCCTTTTTACATCAAAGTGCTGTCAAATGTCAGAAAATGTAATCGTCTGGTAGCAGGACATCGGAATATGCAGCATAAAAACCAGTCATTGACTGTGATTTTCTAAGCCTAGATGTGACACAAAGCCAGAAGTATGGGACACCCAATGATGATCGAACTCGCTACTCAGTAGTAATTTATCTAGCGGGATAAGTTTGCTCGCCATGACGCCACATTGAGGTGCCCAAAGCGGGTATTAATCAAAGCAATGTAATTTTTGAAACCAACGTGTTATCCCGAAACAAAAGTAATTCTTTACGAAAAGATACTGCTTCAATTTATGAGAGTTTTCTGTGCACCAAATAATGGTAGTAAAAATGTCTTTATGAGAGGCACGGTGGAGTAATGGATAGCAGATTTGATTGTGTCATCAGAGAGCCGAGTTCAAATTTCAGACGAATTCATTTTACGTGCTACATTTACATGAACACTCTTCTTAGGTAAATCGCAGGACAGAACGGGTTCTATAACATTGGATGGCAACTGGTCTACCGTAAAAAGAAATGGCAACATACTGCGGGAAAAAAAATCTGCCTTGTTAGTCATGTATCGAAAGAGTGTATCACGCTTGGCGCATAGCTGAATGAAACAGTATCTGTTATATTCCTTTATGCAGATTTGGTAGATCTGTCACGGAGAAATAACTATATTTTTTCTCAGCTTTGGAAAATGTTTTGAAACTTTCACATGAACAAACTATTGGACGGATAACTTCCAGTTGCCGTACGGGACCCATTCTTCATTGCAGTTTTCTTTTCGAATTTGATTGTTTTTTGTTGTTTTTTTTTTTGTTTTGTTTTTTTTTGTTTTGTTTTTTTGCATTTAACAGATCTCGTAAACTATTTACATTATTCGAACTATTGTCATCTTTGTCGCTATATTTATTGCAACGTTTCGGCCGTTGTACTCTCCGGCCTTCTTCAGCTGGTTGGAATGTCGAACTGAACCCTTTATTTCGCTCACTGGGGTAGACTGTTCTAGTTCCATGTGCAATATCTAATGGATGAGAACTGGTAAAGAATGGTTGCTGGACACATTAGGTTTATAATACCCAGAAATTCATACACAGATGTCCTCAAGGACACATGGCACAGTAGATAAAGGGGTTGGTTAGATCCAGTGACAGGACCCAAAGCGCATGAGCTCAATACCTGGTTAAGGCGGTGGAGAACTTTGAGAGGGGAATTAACAGGTGGTAACTGACATCCATTAGACATGGCACGTGGAACTAGAACAGTCTACCCCAGTGAGCGAAATAAAGGGTTCAGTTCGACATTCCAACCACCTGAAGAAGGCCGGAGCGTACAAATATGACCACAAAGATGAGGACAATAGTCCGAATAATGTAAATAGTGTACATAATACCTCGTCTCAGAAATATAGACAAATCTCGTAAAAACGATTTTTTTTCTGATCTACATTGAGTTCCTTCGATGACCGTTCGTCAAATTATTTCCTTTTTAAATTTAAAAAAGTTAAAATTTAAACCTTACTAGGTGCCTCATATAAAATTCGATAATAAATATGCGAAAAATTGAATTACTTGTCCCCTCGGGACATAGAAGATGATGGCTCTCCACAACCTCCTTATGTGTAGTTCTTAAAACGTATATCTTTTTTTTTCTATCCCTGCCATTCACTGTTCTGCTATCTTTTTACACAAGGTCATAACTTAGGTTGCTAGCTGTTTCCCGCGATTTCTTTTGTCTCCAGTATGTCTCATAAGTGTCATTTTTCTTCTTTCTTTATTATGTGTCGGCTTACGGCCACATCACTTTGAAACATTGGTTTCCATACGAGCAACGAAGTTAAGCATCGTCGAGCCTGGTCAGTACTTAGATGGATGACCGTTTGGGAATACCAAATGTTATAAGCTTGGATTTGCGGGTGATGGTAATGAATAATGGCTCGGAATTGTTAATCGGAGAGCCGAGTTCCAATTCCAGTTGGGTTCATTATATTCATTTACGTGAAACTATCCTTGGTATCCTTGGAAAAGGTCTGAATCCGCCTCTTCTCTCCACAACTATGGGTTAATTAGTAAAACTTGTAACACTAAACCATTATTATCTCTAAAAGTAAGATTTTGGTATTAAATAACTCATAGAGGTGTTGATGTGCTGCTAAGCAAAAAAAAAAAAACAACCGTATATGATGTCACTGGAATTTCAACTATTTTTGTCCTAAATATAAGTGTCCTTTTTGTTTATATTTTCATTAAAACTTCTTCGTTGCTAAGATGCTTTGTTCATGATATTCTCAGCATCCTTCTGTAGAATCACATCTTTGCAGCCCCAAATCGCCTCTTCATCTTTGAGGACTAATATTCAGCGTTTTATCTCCGTTTCAAACGACATTTTCCTGTTTCGTAACACTTTGCTGAGATTTTTTAAGGTATCTTTTGCTATTTCAGTACTTCTTTGGATTTTGGTATCGCATTTCCCGTCTTCTGTTAAAACACCTACCATATATTTGAAATTATGTCGTAAAATCTACCAACCAAGACTTTAACGCGCTTTTATAAGATATATTTTAATAACGCACGTGTTAAGATCGGGTGGCAAGTTTTAACACACATATGTAACTTGGCCAATGTCTGTAGTGTTGTGATAAAAACAAAGCCTTTATTTCGCTAAAAACTATTTTCCAGCATAATTTTCTTCCATGCAAATTCACTTAAACTAACGTCCCTTCAGGGATCACACAGATTGAGTATTATGCAGTGAAAATTTCTGACCAATATCCAACAAATAACGTAATTAGCCTACGAGTTTCGCCCCAAGGAAAGCAATAAAGCCACTAGGATGAAAGGTGTTAATGAGAGTTAAAGAAATAGTAAAGATAATAAAAGAATAGGTTTCATTAGACAGAAGATGACGATTAACGTCTCATTTAAATTTTTGAAGATCGTAGTTAACAACAAAAAAAACATGAAGCCGAAATAGATTTCCACCAGCAAGAATTGTGATGGAAGAGACAATAAGCATAGAACTTATGATTACGACTAGCAATTTAAATAGTAACATGGGCTTACGGGGCCACATCACGTTAAAACACCGATTCATGTACGACCAACGAAATTAAGCAAAGTCGAGCCTGGTTAGAATATTTAGCTACCCCACCCCACGAGGGTTGCATGTGGCACAAGGCCGGATAAACGTGGGTTCTCCGAGCCCGTAGACTCGGCCAAAAATATTCCCATTTTGAAGCCGCATAAACGGGTTCAGGGGCAGTCTACCTCCCCGAACGAGACTCTGACCTTCGGCGGAGCCTCGTCCGGGTTTCTCTCGACTGTCTCGCTGGAACAGATTCCAGTCGAGCCTGGTTAGTACCTAGATGGATGACTATTTGGGAATATCAGGTGCTATAAGCTTGGTTGCGCGGGTGGTGTAATCGATAATATCTCGGAATTGTTAATCGGAGAGCCGAGTTCCAGTTGTGTTCTTTATATTTATTTATGCGCTAATACCCTTAAGAAAAGTCTGAATCCACCCCTTCCCCCCTAGCTTTGGGTTAATTAGTAAGACTTGTATCACTTGTATTATCTCCTTAAGAATATTCTTAAAATCTAAAAATATTTCCTGGCTTTAAATAATCTGCAAAGTGTTGATAAGCCGTAAAAAAAACGAATCAGTAGTAAAATTATGAGACCTAATTGTTAATCTAGTATTCGTAAAATCCTAGTAGCAAAGAAGAAAGCAATATTTATTTTGCATAATACAAGTGGCACAAGGCCAAGAGGAGATAGTGAAAAGCTGGTCTTCAATCTATCTTATCTTAAACCAAACTAGCAACAATTACTGACAGACATAGTACAGTATTCCTTACACCAAAACAACATAATCTTACTTATCATTCTTATTACAGCCAATATAATATTGAGTTTTCTGGAAAGTGCATGCCGATTTTTAGTTGATCATGATCCAACATGTTAGAACACGTTACATTTAACTACAGATATATGCTTAGGTTAAATTAGAACACTCTTCAAACTATCTCTTGAGAAAGAAAGTTTAAAATTACTTAATTATTATAAGATACATTTTAGACATTTGATGTCTTTCTTTACCGTAAAGGCAAGAATGTCTCGCAAGCAACAAACAATGATATGTGCTGTGTACGGTGAAGGTACTTTAGCAGACAGAACTGTAAGGAAGTGGTTCGCAAAGTTTAGAGTTGGTGATTATAGCCTTATTGATGAAGAACGCTCAGGCAGAACTACTACAGATGACGACCAAATCAAGACATTGATTGAGAATAACCCGCATTACACAACGCGGGAATTGGCATAAACACGAAATTTATCAAAATCTGCCATCCGTAAGCACTTAGTGAACTTTGAGTATTCAGATCGCTACGATGTTTGGTTACCACATGATCTGAGTGCAAAGAATCTTTTGGGTCGCATTTCATCTGGGTTTTGCTGTATAAATGCAATGAAAATGCACCCGTTTTGAAGCAAATTGTAATGGGTGATGAGAAATAGATTGTTTACAACATTGTTCAGTGAAAAAGATCCTGGGGTAAGCAACATGATCCAACTTTAGCCACCTCAAAAACAGGTTTTCATCCTAAGAAATTTATGTTGTGCGTTTGGTGGGACTTCTGCCAAGTAACCAATCAATTCTGAAAAGTACTGCTCGCAGTTGGACAAATTAAAGGCAGCAATTCAAGAAAAACATCCAGAATTGGCGAACAGGAAAGGAGTTGTTTGCCATCAGGATAGTGCCAGATCTTACTTTTCTTTGGTGACCCGGCAAAAATTGTCGCAATTTGGCTGGGATGTGTTACCTTACTCACCATATTCACCTGACATTGCACCTTCGGATTTTCGTTTATTTAGGTCTTTGCAAAATAATCTCAATGGTAAAAGTTTTAATTCTTTATATGTCATAAAAACGCCTTAATAAATTCTTTACAGAGAAACAACCGAAATTCCGGGAAAATGGAATCTTTAAATTGAAGGAACAATGGATAAAGGTTGTGCAATAAATTGGTTCATATTTATTTGAATAAATATTTAATGGTATAATTTTTTTTGTGTTTTAATTTCCCTTAAAAATCAGCATGAACTTTCCGGATAACCCAATTATCTTGAAGTCTCTCTGTAGTCCTACCTTGTTCTAATATTTTCAATTCGTCTGTGGTGGGGGATAAAAAACATTTAAAAATGAAAGCCCAGTGAATATTTACAATGAAGCAAAAAGGAAAGCTTATCAGAACAATTATGATTTAATTCATTTATAGAAAGAACAAAGAGAGCCATGTTGTGGGAAAGCGACTGAAGCCGAGATGTCTGGTAAAGTATACAATCCCAATTTTCTCTGTTTGTGGCCTTAGTTCTAAATCTCACTTCTTTTTCTAAAATCCTGGCTCCTTCCCCTCCTCCTTTTTTAATTCTTTTCTTTTTTTCTTTTCTATTTCTATTTGTACCCGTCTCACGTCATCTTCTACGTCATTTTCCTTTTTCTCACACGTTCGATTTCATTTCTTTTTCATTTCCCTTTACAAAGAAAGAGAGATACAAATCGAACGCAACCGATAGATAGATAGATAGATAGATAGATAGATAGATAGATAGATAGAATGTCTCTATCTTTTGCTTCTTTATAATTCTCCTTATTTTTCTTCATTTTTTCTTTTTCCTTCTTTTTCTCCGTTTCTTGCGATTATTTTCACCCCCTTCTTTCGTTCTTGTTCTAATTACTCCACTTTTACTTAAACATACTCGTTCGATCCTCTCTACAGTTTATTTATATATAAGATCGCTTGCGTTCATCGCCTTTTACTTCATCCTCTTGATACAAACCCCAAGAGCCATTCGAGATAGGCGGAAAGAGAGGCACCGTTCATGGGGATCTATTTTTATAAGCCAATTTCTTGCTTTTTTTTCCGTTATGATCATCATCAGTACTTCGACTTCTTCAATCATCGTGGGGTAAACCTGAAGGCAGAAGAAATAGACTGATTCTTCCTCACAATCCTTTCAGTAGGATTTCTAATAACTTGGCGGCGCTCATCTCATCTCCAAGCTCTTGAGCTACAAGCAAAGATAACGGAATGTGGTGTCGGTCGCAACTAGACCCTCGGGTTTTGAATTCAGGGTTATACTTCTCAGGACCCAGTCTCCCCTGCTATTTGCCCATAGCTTTGGTTTGGTTTATTTTGTTTTGCGGCAATCCAACCTCAATGGGTTATTTAATGCCGACAAATTTTTTATTGCTGGTAATATTTTGTTTTATCAAAAACCTGTTTCTGGTAATAAATTTCCTTCAAAACCGTATTGCTGGTAATACTTTTTTTTCAAAAAAATGTATTGCTGGTAATAGTTAACTATTTGCCCACAGCTGGGACCCTAACAGGTGCCACCACCCCGGGTCAGGGTGGACCTGGGAACACCAGCAATTAAGAGGTGGTTCCACGCTCCTCCAAACCTCCTGATCAGAGGCCTTGCTGTTGGACGCAGTTTAACGTCTTACCCAGGACGCGGATGTAGTTTAACGTCTTACCCAGGAAGACATAGCTGGAGGGCGAAGTGATGAATTCATTACCTTTCCCAAAGGTGTTAGCAATGATATTTAACTCTTATTCTCTCTACCTTTTTTTTTATCCTTGTTGTTGTTTTTGTAGTTGATGTTGTTATTGTTGTTGTTCTTCTGGTTTCAGTTATTTTCCCTCTCTTTATTTTTCTTCAATTGCCTTTTTCCTTATCCTTTCCTCACCCCACTTTTTCTTCTACTTCTTTCTTCCGCTTGCTTCTCTTCATCTCACCCTTCTTTCTATTATTTTTCTCTCTATCTCTTTCTTGTATATCTTCTTTTTTTTTCTTTCTTTCTCATCATCATCCTCTTTTCTTCGTCTTCTTTCAGTTCTGTCCCCTCTTTTGCTTTATTTTTTTGTCGTACAGCAGTAAAGTGTCGCTACCGACACTGTAATTTGAACATAGATCGCCAATGAGCAAACACGGGAGATTCCATTATTTACTTAAGTGGATGACATTATTATAAGGAAATGTATAAATAGTAAACAGCGTAAAGTCTAAGTGTTCATGACTAATTACACTAGGACAGATCACTATTCCTACCCTACCGTATTCTCTTCACTATACTAATTATACTATTCGGCGATTACTATTTGAACAAGTATTACCTGTGCGAGTATTATTTGATGGTGTTACTACTACATGTACCTGCGTTACAGGTTTCGATTACAATGAGCATTTTCGGAAGTGATCACGAGCATTCGTTGACCTGATGGAAGCTACAACGAGTTAGCGTTCTAATATTATCAAATGCTTTCTTCAATTTCATTTCTATTTCTTTCTTCTTCAGCAGGCTTCTCTTCTTAACCTTCTTTCTTTTTTTCTTTTCTTTCTGTCTCTCTTGTCGTATCTGTTTTATATTTTAATTTGCTTATCGCCATCCTCTTTTCTGCTTCTTTTTCTTTTAGTTCTTTTCTCTCTCTTTCTTTATTTTTCTTCGATTTCTTTCCTATCTCTCTTGTCGTATCTGTTTCATATTTTAACTTGTTTATCGCCATCCTCTTTTCTGCTTCTTTTCTTTTAGTTCTTTTCCCTCTCTTTCTTTATTTTTCTTCGATTTCTTTCCTATCTCTCTTGTCGTATCCGTTTCATATTTTAACTTGCTTATCGCCATCCTCTTTTCTGCTTCTTTTTCTTTTAGTTCTTTTCCCTCTCTTTCTTTATTTTTCTTCGATTTCTTTCCTATCTCTCTTGTCGTATCCGTTTCATATTTTAACTTGCTTATCGCCATCCTCTTTTCTGCTTCTTTTTCTTTTTAGTTCTTTTCCTCTCTTTCTTTATTTTTTCGATTTCTTTCCTATCTCTCTTGTCGTATCTGTTTCATATTTTAACTTGCTTATCGCCATCCTCTTTTCTGCTTCTTTTTCTTTTAGTTCTTTTCCCTCTCTTTCTTTACTTTTCTTCGATTTCTTTCCTATCTTTCTTCTTCAGTATGCTTCTCTTCTTCTCGTCC